CTTAGCCAGACTTCATCTCCGGTCAAGTCTTAGCCGGTTTAAACAATCTGGACAATACAAACCACATGTCCGATTTACAAGTCCGAACAACACTCTCAAGCATTGTCCGGTTTATATCTAATCCGGACAAACACTCGCCCTTTTGTTCGATTTATGAATCCAGGCAACTTAGCCGTATTCCTACTTTTCCGTCCAATACCTTTAACCGGTTTATACAATTCAAATATTACTAACACCTTAAATCGCATAACATAGTGTTCGATTTGAATCTACACCGGACATCACGTGTCCAATTTACCCTTAAACCGATCAACCATTTGTCCGGTTTATATCTATTCCGGACAAACACTCGTCCGATTTAAATTGAACCGGATGAGAAACTTTTAAACACCAATCAATTATATAGTTTAAAGAGATTTAAAACATTTTAACCACTCACCTTTTGAAATACTTTTGAGAATCAACTTCTTGAAATTCAGAACAAAGGCAATCCGATCAACCCTTTCTTTTTCTTTAAATCGCTCACTTCCTCTCAATTTGGCAAGAAGAGAAAAATGGAGGCTTCAACCTCCTTTTATACCTTTCCAAAATTAAGAAGGCGGCTAAACCGCCCCTTTATGCTCACCCACACGTATGCATACTACTTTATGCATATACACAGAGACTCATGCATACATGCCTATCCATACATGCATATAATCATATATATATATTTATCATATGTATGCAAAGCATACGAATTCATGCATATTCACATATATATACCATCTTATATATATGCATTTCACATTACACACATATACCCATATTATTAAGGCATACACACATCCATTCTCATACATGCATCCATATTATGCATATAATTTCACATACTAGCATGATCAATTATAACAATTTATCATGCTATCACATAATCATTTAACAAGTAATTACATATTAATTACCTCGGGTGATAACCAAGATCCGGTTATCAAAAAGGTTTCTATACACTTATTCTTCTTGAAAAACCCTAATATTTTCTTTGTGGATTTTTCAAAAGAAGTTCTATTGTCTCAAAACTTAATAGCTCACAACTATATCTTGAATTACTAGCAAATCTGTTATTTCTTATTTCTTACTTATAACATAAATGTCCTCCAAGAACGTGAACTTTTCGATTGACGATGTGTCTTTCAAGCCAAATAATCATGTGGCTTTCTTAGACATTCCGGCCAACAAGTCCTACTACGAGGAAGTTGCTACTTTCCTCAAGAACTCCCATATCTCCTTCGCTATCTCCCATGAACCAATCATGGTGAAGGAAGTTCTTCAGCAGTTCTGGCACATTATCGAAGTCGTTCAGGATACTGACAAGACTGGTCAACAGGTGGAGAAAATCTCATTCACCTTAAACAGAATGACTGTCAGTTTCGGCGTTGCCATGCTAAGGACCGCCCTCCGTCTACCAAAGGGTCCTTATGCCAATGACCCTTCCACTAAAAATATCATCTTTTGCTTAGTGGCCAACAAAAAAGGATTCCAACGATCTCCTCAAGTAGCATTCAATAATTGAGAAGAACCACATGTCTACGATTTGGCAGTTTTTGTTTTTCCATTTCATCCAATGTATGGGAGGCAAGACTGATGAAAAATATCAAGCCTTCAGAGTTGCTTTGAATATTGGCGTATCTGTCATTTGCCAAAGGCCGATCAACATTGCCGGTGTGATCTTTGAATATCTGGTGCTGAAGCTAAACAAGCGCCAGAGGGAGAAGCTATTACATTACACCAGGTTCTTATCCATGTTGTTTGCTAAATTTTTTGGCAACAAGTACTCCACATAAGGCAACCTGCCCATCTACAAGCTTGGATCCAGAATCTTGGATCATATGCTGAGAACTGAAGACGTTGCACTCTCTTCAATTGTGCCTGCATATGCTTCCTCAGCTTCTCAAACTGTGTCGGTATGTCCTTCTTCCATTGTCCGGTGGTCAAGACTAAGAAAAACCCCCCAAAGTCTAACCCAACCACCACATCCCTTTCTTCTACAAAAAAACCTCCTCTCAAACCACTCTTGGTTCTTCATCGAGGGCCAAGAAATCCAAAAAAGGGATAACCACATCTCTCGTTGTTGCCTCTTAAAAGGTTTCAGCTATTGAAACTAGCCTTAACCCCAAGGCCCCTTTAGCTTGGTCTTCTCCAATCTCTTCAGTGATTTCTACAATTACTGTCGTACCTGTGGCTCCTGTCCTAACCGTCTCAATGACCCAGATCAGTGAAGGTGTGAATATCAGCATAGCCACTGTTGAACACCCACTTCCACCGTTCTCAGCCATCTTCTTCTCTCATCCTTCTTTGTCGTATCAATAAAAACTACCACAATAACCACCTCAGTGACTCAAAGCACTGAGAGTGTGATTTCGAACCCGTCCATAAATCAATTGTTGTGCAAGATCACGTCTCTCTCTCGTAACACTTGTTTCTTCACCTCCTCCATTGGTATCGGTGACACGACCTAGAGACTCACAAGTGGTTGTCCCCCAAGTGATGAAGCCACTATTAGCATAGGACTTGAGGGTGCTTCTCTCAAGCACTCTTAGCAAATCAATATTGATCCTCATGAGAGCGAGGATGAAATCTCTCATGGTTGATCCCTTGGACAACTCTAAACGACCCTTAGGTATTCCAAACTCTCCTACCCTTTTTTCTTGTTTACTAATCCCTAAGCATTTCTCAGCTCAAAATATCACATCTCCTTCTCCTTTTTCATGTCCTTCTATAGAGATTCCCTCAGTCGATGACTATGATCTGGTTAAGGATTGGTTGGTAGATTATATAACCCGAAAATCACAAGTGGAATCTCATGCAAATGTACATGCTAGACCACTATCGTTTGATCTAGTAATGAAGTGGTACAAAGTATTGAATACCGTTCCCACAAGGACAATTAAAACAAGCACTAATTTCAAGTTAAGCTTAAAAGGTGATTTCATAAGATGAATTTGAAGGAATGCTTTTGAGTGAGCTAACAAAAATATAAAGTTCTAAAAACAGAATTAAAGAAAGCAAGGGTGTAAGTTATGGCTGGAGTTTGAGCAACAATACAATGGGAACCTTGTTACAGCACTAGTGTTGCAACATTAGTTCTCAACCACACTACCAGTTAGGAAGGTGGTGTAGGAGGTTATTGTAGTGAAGAAGGAGGTAGAGGTGGCCGACGAGGGCTACTAGTGGCCGCCGGTGATGGTGGCGGTTGCGACTAGCGGTGATAACTAGTAAAACAAACACCTTATTAAGGTTAGATATAAAATGAGGGTAGATTAGTACTATTTTAATTTATGTTTCATTCTTGTTCCATCGTGGAACTAGAAAAAATACCTTTTTTTTTGTCCCACACTCTCCCACCTAGTCCTAGTTCTTATCCCTATCCCATGTTGCACCAGACGTGGAACAGTGAGTTCATATCCTATTCCATGTCGCGTCAAATATTGGACAGTCAGTTTTGTTCCATCATCTGTCTCATGTACCAAATGTAGCTTAAGGACCGTTTGATTTGATGAAATGTTTTTAAGGGATTTGAATTCGAGAGAAATTCGAATCTTTCGTAGTTTGGTTTGTAGACTTTGGAATATAATTGAATTCTATTATTTTTAGAAATAAATTATAAAATAATTAAATTCTCTTTTTATTAATTGATTATTACAATTGTTTTTAACAAACTCTAAAACATTGTTACAAACAAATCCTATGAAATTCCAAGAAATACTGACTACCCCATCGGATTCCCAACTCTCATGCCTATAGATTTCATTGAATTCCCAAGATTTCAATTCTAGAATTTCCTTTAAACTAAACACAGGATTGGAATAGAATCGAATTTTGAATCCCATTAAATCCCTCCATTCTCCAAATACCGCAAACCGAACGAAACCCTACCAGTATCATTGACTTCTATAGTCTCCCCAAAAACCAAAAGCAACAACGTGGCATAGAAGTTAGATCCTGAAAAAAAAATTGCTTGTATAAACATCAATTAAAATACAAAAAGTAAATCTTTAGGGGTAACTCAACTTGAATGACACATATGAAAAGTTCCTTAAGGTTAACAGAAGGTTTGCCGATCGAGATAGATGCAAGCTGACACGAAGATAATTACTAAAGACTAGTTGTCTACCCGCACAATGCAGCGGGATGTAAAAAGCTCATTAAGATTATTCAATTTTGAGATATCAAAATCCTTAAAGATGTACAAAGCCTACTGCATTTGTATCTAATTTAGATTCAAATATACATCAATCCAAAATGTTAGTGTTAGTAGGTTCTACAATTATTCATAAACCCTTAATCACAACCCGAATGATTGAAGCAGTGGAACAAGATACAAGCATTTGCCAAGGACTGGAGCGGTGGAACAAGATACTCGACCCGAATCACAACCCATCTTGAATATATTGAATCAAATAAACCCTTAAAAGCAAATGGGTTTGTAATGTATACAAATATTATAAATGTAGATTCGAAACTCCGAAATACCAAACTTTAAAATAAGCAGCTAGTTCATCTAGTTGTAAAATGGAAAGTCAATGGAAGACTTTTATAAAAAGTATAAAAACGTGTGGAAGTTGTAAGGGTGTCGGTGCGACCGGAGGAGAGACGGTGAGGTACGACGGAGGCGAGGAAGAATGTTGTGGCAATGGAGGTGATTGGGAAAAATCAATCATGAATTACGAAAATCTGATATTTAAATTTGAAATTTGAAATGGTAAGAAAGATTTTGATGGTAAGATGAAAATCTAGGGAACATAAAGGGTCAAAATTTGAAAGAGGTAGATGGTTTAAAATTTCAATGTCTATTGAGAACCAAAACTAAATATGGGAAAAATAAAACTTAAAAGTAAGAGTTGTAAAAGGTGAAACATTGTTGAATCGTACCATATGCATAAAATGACTTGTAATTAAAACTTTTAAGACTTTATGCATAAAGAAGCAGTACCTTATGCATTTAAGGTTGTTTTTAAGACTTTTATCAAATCTGCTTTATAAGATAGTATAGAATTTAACAAATATACATACACATCCATTCTTTAAACTTTAGACATATGAACATTACAAGTATATTTACCTACAAAAAGAATAAAAAGATCCCAATCCCACCTTTTCTTTTTACAAACTTCAAACCACAAACAGCATAAACATCCATAACTTACACTAGCGTCTCTTTACTTGTAGGCTTGGAGAGCTCAACTCAACAGTTGATTCCACAAAATGTAACATCTGGGCCAGTAACTCTAGTAGTAAACGGATCGATTCGAACCCACAACAACGAGAAGATGGAGGCAAGAAGAATGGACCATACGACAACGATGGTGGGCATCCGATTTTGTTTCCCCATCAGACCCTTGAGGAAAGGGTAAAGATGTACAATCACCCAAAAGGCAAAGAAAAGCTTACCGAAGAGCGGACCCCACGACTGGTATCCACTGTTGATAGCGTAAGAGATTCCAGCAACCACTCCCACCAAGTTTACGAGCAAGAGCGTTGTGGGTGCAATGAGAAGGGTGGTCCATTTGAACAGGTAAAGTTCGGCGAAATCACCATCTTCATCTGATGCCTTCGAAGTGACGGTGAAGTTGGTATCGATACCGGCAAGCACTTTGAGGAGACCTTGGAAGACGGCGAAAAGATGTGCAGAAACACCACCGATGACCCAAAACTGTTCATTCCTCCACCATTCATCTATTCCGACTCCACTCCATCTCATTTCCAGTATTCCAGTGGCAAAGATGGATAGAAAGAGAGATATAAACCACAAACTTGCAAGGTTACTGATCTACAACCATGAAAACACAAGATTAAAAGAGTAAATATTTACTATAAAGAAGCGATTAGAGCATATTACCTTCAATCAAATAATTGTCCACATTTCTATTTCAATTTGTCCCAAAATAAATGTCCACTAGCAAAAGTAAGCGCAATTTCTAATTCTATCCTTAATTATGAGATTGAGAAATTCACTATTCCCTCTGTGAGAATATGTGGAACCCCTAGATTACTCTTTAAAAGAGCCCTCGAGGGGAGAAGGGAAGCACTGACATGTATACAAGAGAAACGGTCCAAGGCTAGCCGCTGTGGGGCTCCAACACCCTGATCTAGGGACTCTTAACACCCTCTATTATTAACGGTAAAAAGTGTAATAGTTACACATTTTTAAAACTGTCACTTTTACATTGTGGACGTTTATTTTTAAGATGGATGGATTATATTTTTGAAAGTCAAAGAAAACCAAACCAAAACAATCCAGTAAATCCAGAGGTAGGGTCTAGAATTAGGATGTATGGATATCTTGCTTCTACCCTTAGGGGTAGGGAGACTAACTCTATAAAGACCCCTGGTTGCATGGCAAAAATTAAAAGGAACAAGCTAAGAAACTACATGTTAGAATGTGTGAAAACAAGTGAAATCTGGGAAATATGAGACTGAAATACGTTAAACAAACAAGAAAACACAGAAACACAAAACTGAGAATAGTTAGCATAGTCATTATGAATAAACATGTTGCAAAAGTAGAAACAAAAGTAGGCATGAAAGGCTAATACAACCGACAAATCGGACAGCCGAAGGAATATGGTATAATTCTCTATTTCAGGAGATATCTTCTTTTTCATCTCTTCTTTCTCTCCTTTAAGTCGGTAGATGGGAGGTGAGACATAAAAGTTTGACCATGAAGTTTTATACCAGTACAATCACCTTCCTAAGTGGCAAATACCATATCAGACTCACTTTGCCAGTCACAATAATACCATATCAGTCACAATAATATTAATATTGCATCAAAATTGGCCTCATCCTGGAATAAAAATACAGAGTAGAGGAGTGTGTGCAAATGGCAATTGAACGAAGATAAAAACATAGGTCAATGGCCAAGCAATTACAGGTAGATCGCAACCTCCTTGAAAAAAAGGATTCTAAGTCTCACCAAAGGTGAGACACGCATGCGAGTTATACCCCTTGTTTGAAAAAGCCCTCCACTTCAATTGGTATTTTTTCACGAAAAGCAGACTTACGATTCGGCGGTTCGATCTATGATTTATCATTACGATTCTAAGTAACAGGGCGTATATAAATATTATACCTAAAAAAGATTCATAGGTGACGAAACAAACCTGGGGAATGATGAATTTTCCAGTAAGGAGACAGACAGCTGGCAAAGTACAGTAGACGACAAGGGGAATTGAAGTGATTGGATAAATTGTTGTGTTAATGTATGCAAACCGCTCAAGCCATTTTAGTCTCCCATTATAGCCATACCATATAGGACAATGTCTGCTGAACAGAATTTCGACAGACCCCAAAGCCCATCTAAGCACTTGGTTTAGACGATCTGATAAATTGATGGGCGCAGAACCTTTAAAGGCTGGCCTAGGAGGCATACAGTATATTGATCGCCAACCACGTGCATGCATTTTGAACCCCGTAAGAATATCTTCAGTAACCGAACCATAAATCCATCCTATCTGCAGATCCAACAAATAATTTCAACTTCATTAGATACCCAGTGGAAAAGAGAGTTTCTAACATAGATTTGGCCATTTAATTGTTGTATAGATAGTAGAGATGCGCAAAAAGACCAGACTTTTTTTAGTCTAGACCAGACCACACCATGAAACAGAGCCGGTCCTAACCGGTCCAAACTTTTTTGAGACGGACCGGTCTTTTTAGGACCAGGTAAAGCCCAGATCGGATAAAGAATTGGACCAGACTGGATTAGAACCAACTCACTTTCTTTAAAAAGAAATTCAAAATTTCTTAACATAAACTTAATAAATGTAATTAATAAGAATACAATTACAATCATACATTTCTTATAAATTAAAACATAATTTAACAACCAATATAAAATATAAATACTTTTGTAAATTTTTATTTTATAATGTATAATACGATAAATGACTTGTTAAGTCTTGAATACTAAATAATTGAATAGGGTTACGTTCAAGGGGAAACAGCAAAAAAATGAAAACTGAGGTAACACCCATAATTGTTCATCTGGACAGTATGCATGTATGCGTACAAGTAATTTGTAACAAGCACACGTGCATAAAAACCAAAAATCAGCTTCAATTACATGTATGCACATGTGTATTCCATCCAGATGAATGATTACCAAGGTGTTCCTCAGTTTTTCATTGTTTTGGAGGTTTTCCGTGAACCTCCCTCTAATTGATAATTGTAAAATTAATAATTATTATTTGTAATAGTTATTAGTAATGTATTAAATACTTACATTAATCATCGAAAAAATAAAAAATCAGACCTAAAGGACCAGACCAAAACCGGATAGAATCAGATCACCGGACCATACATTACTGAGATACAAAAAGTAAAATGGAGCGGTAAACCAAATCATAGCAATCTACAAGGCTGGAAATAATATAGAAAATTTCCAAGTTCTTTCACAAATATGTGATATGGAGATAGTGGCAACGGAAATAATGATTTTGCATTTCTCTTCTGTAACACAAAGTACTTTGGTACAAGTGGTTATTGCAGTGGTACAAGTAGTTAAAGCAGGGTAGTAAGGATATAAATAGGGAGGCGGTGCTAAAGCCTTGGGACTTGGGAGAGCACTAGCCTCTCGAAAGCCAAAATTATTTGAATCATTCGGTTAATTGCAATGGAACCCTAAATCGAAGTCTGATTTGCTAATTGAATGATGATTGATGAATGTACATCACATTGTTCACACGAATTAAGATTATTTACAATGAATTAACATTATGTAAAATGAATTAAAACAGGATTATAATGCATATCAACTAACCTCGCTTCCCCAGTCTGATTTATCTTCATAACCACAACTGATAACATGAATAGCCTCTTTCAGGAGAGTCTCTGGTGTTGCAGATTGAGGCACACCACCATTCTCCATAAGTGTGGATGCAACAAAAACAGCCGACTGACCAAATCTTTTCTCAAGGGTCATTTGTGACATTAGCAATGACTTTTCATCGTCAAGTCCAGCTCCTGAATGAAGGGAGTGGAGAATTTATAATTGAATGAAATTATGAGTGGAAGGGCTAAGACCTAAAATATTGGGATTAATAGCAAGCCAGCAAAACATGGAAATTCTTATACACGGAACTCCATCCCATGAAAATTGGAACCAGCGACCTAACATGCATATTGAAGAAAATGTTTTGACTATCAGTCAAAGACTTAAGATATCCTTCCATTATGATAAACAGAGAGGACTTGTTGGAAGTAAACTTATAAAAATAAATAACCATAGGCTACTAAAGAATTACTATGAATTTCCCTGCCTTCAAATGCTTGCCCTACCATCTATTTATAATTGATTAAATGGAATCCTACTACGGTAAAGAAACTATTTGAAATATTTAGAATACCAAAACCTTTCCCCAATGATTTTCCAGCCTTATCACTATTATCCCATTGCCATTCAGTAAGATCATTCCATCTGATACACTCGTTCAGTTTCACTTTCTGCTCTCATACCTTCCCCAATGACATTAAGGCTTAGCAAATTTATTATGTTATTTCTGTATGATTTCAATTCCTTTGTCTTAACCTATAACCTCATAAGCTAATATGTAAAGTATGTGTTATAGACATTCCTCAGTTTTCTACCTGTTTCCTATAGCAAAATCTGACAAATGGACTACGAGAAAGAGAATCTAGAACAGTCGATCTGCATATAGCTGACATAGAATATTGCCCTCATAATTTAACCAATCAATTTATTCAAGGTTAAATAGTTTGAACATCATGTTAGTTGTGGCATACAATTGGGGTAAGCGAAGAGTTGACATGACCCTTTTGAGACCATATGAACGGAAGGCCAACCCTCATTAAACAGTATGGTGAGTCAATTTCGTCATTAACAAATGAAAATTGGTATTTAAAACATATATTTTTGAAGAAACAGGACTAAAAGTAATAGATCCTGACAATTTGTACCTTCAACCCCCTCTTCTATATCCTCTAGGTTAAATATCGGCACTGTGGGATCAGCATGCTTGCCAGATCTCGTTCTATCTGGCCCCTTCTTGCTTGATTGCGAATTTTTCTTTCGTGATGCACCAAAGCAGCTAGAGAAACCCCCTTCTCTCTTTTTCTTGGGTTTAAGAGGAGGTTCATAGCCATATAATGCTGTTCTATTGAAGACGCATCCAGTACCGACATAAACAGGACCCTGAATGCCATCTAAACCTCTCAAGTTTATCTGTAAAGAAAAGAAATAATACAGTTGTCATATAAACGGGGTGGAAGAATATAAATTTTAAAGTTATAACCCATTTATCATATTAATTAACCACTAAACACACACACACAAATCACGAAGTGTTGTTCACTCTAAACAAGCAACCAGATAAACAAAAAAATTGAACAGCATTGAGAGATTAAAAACTCACATCAAAGAACACAGTGTTCCGGTTAGCATAACGATCATTCCTATCAATTCCATCAAATCTCTGAGGAAACTGAACATAACAAACATATTTTCCAAGGTTCGGATCCATCATAAAACACATGGCTTCTCTCACTGCCTTACTGTTATTAATGTAGTGATCACAATCAAGATTCAATAAGAAAGGGCCGTTTGTAAGAACTGCTGATACACGAACCTACAAAACGCCATATTGAAATTTATAGGTTGTATACGTAAAGATGTACAGATTAGAGGTTTGAATATGGAATAACATACAAGTGCATTCATGGCACCGGCTTTCTTGTGATGTTGAAAGCCTGGACGCTTTTCTCGGGAAACATACACTAACCGTGGCAACTCATTACCCTCACTGTCAAGCCCACCACTCTGACCTAAGAAAACCTGAAACATGTAGTGTTATATCCAATCAGAAGCATGAGACAGTTTAGTCATTCTTTGCACAGATATAAATAAAAGAACTATGTTGAGCTAAACGAATTTTGAGTTTGCATTATTGCAATAAGAGCGAATATTTGATAGCTTCTGCCATATCTTTTGAAAGACCAAACATCAAATGTCCTTTTCAGCAATACCAGATCACTGAACTTGAAAGCTAACTTACCTGGATCATTCCTGGATGATCCCTCGTGTTATTTCCAGGCCACGGTGTCCCATCTTGCATGATCCATCCTTCTTCAGGGACTTTTTGAGCCTTGGCAACGAGGCCATTTATACGAATTTTAAACTCTTCATATTCTCTCTGCAACAAAGGTAACAGAAAACAATCCAGTAAATGAACAATAAAAAGAAGCCCACATTTACATGCATGAACAAGTTCCTACCTTCATAGCTCTACGGTCTTTGACAAATGTTGGCTGAATTTCATCTTTCAGGTAATCAATTTTCTGGCAGAAGTACCATTCTGGAGCTCGGGGCTCAATACTATATTTCTTGCAGAAAGGAACCCATTTCCTTGCAAACTCTGATGTTTCAGACAGAGCTTCAAATGTCAACATAGCAGCACCATCATCCGAAACATAGCATGAAACCTTGAAAACTGGGTAGTCAACTGCAAGAATAGATAGAACAGTGTTTGCTGTTACGAGAGGAGGTTCCTTCAAAGGATCCACGGTACTAACAAAAATGTCAACAGCGGCTAATTGTGATGGTTCTCCTTCTCGGTCATATCTATTAAAATAATTTTGTATTAGAGACAAACTACAAAAACAATCATAAATTCAAAAAGATACAAACATTTGTTCAAGAAGGATGAGTTTCTATACAGTGATAAGCTTAGCCCTTTTTTTATTTCAAGCTCAGTGGTAGAGCGGTCGGCTGGTAACTGACTAGTCGGGCGTCCTTTTTCAAAAAGAAGCCCCGCTCAACAAGGGGCCCCTCTCTGATAAGGAAGAAAACAAAAGAATCTCAGCATTTTTCAGTTTCACTTTTCCTTTTATAGATAGTAACCTTAACCTCTTACAACTCGATACATAGAGATTCTCAAATAAAAGGGAAAGATAGCAAGTGCAATAACCTCAAAGCTAGCCTGTCAAGATATGTTTCACGATTTACTGGCAGCCATTTGGGGAATTGATCCAATATCCAAGATACTGCAAACCATATCTCACATATAACAGATAGTAACCACAAGGGGTATGCATTTGTCACGGGATTTGTTATCCGGTAGTGCAAGAATATGCAAAGAATGATCAACCGAAGTACAATGACCATCCTGTATGGATTTATCCTGGACGATGGGATAGAAACCTTTCTAGAAAGTGGCTGTCGGGCTTCATCATTCCTTCATCAGATAGAACAAATCAAGTTAATCATTAGCGACAGTCTGTAAATGCATCTTAATAAGGCTATCAGATGCAGCACCACCAGAGAGAACTCAACAAAGATAATTTCAGGCTAAGCACACATGATAAAACAAAGCAAAGAGACTAAGCACTACCCAAAATCTTGTCTAGGATGCCTGATAAATTGATAAGCTACTATACTAATAAATGCCCAAAGGATGCACTCATCTCTTAAGAACCAATATCTACAAGTGTAAGCTGTTCATATAAATGTAAGCAGTTAAGCTTGGTTCCATTTGGTCAGAATTGCAAAGTTAAACTATCACTATTCAGTTCTAACTTCTCTAAATTAAAGCCAAACTGTGAAACCTTCGAACTGAACCAAACTGGACTGCTCAACTTTGATTCATATAGGTATGGTTCAATGATTTAAGTCAGTTTTATGATATAAATAAAAATCTAATTTACTTATGCGAGGTAAAAGAGTTTAAACCAAGATAAATCAATTTAAATTTGAACAGCAACCAGGAACTAAATTAGAACAGGGAACCAGCAGACTTACAATAACAAGTCATCAGCCAACACATCAGTGCTGGCATCAATATCTTGACCTCTTTCAGAAGCAGCATGGCTAGTGGTCACTGGGACCGAATTCTTATCTTGCTTTATTTTCCAGCCATCAACTCTCTCTTTCCACGCAACATTTCCTAATCCAGCAGTTCCAAACTCCCTCACAGGGTCTACAACCCTAATATTAGCTGCAAACAGAACACCTCTTTCAAAATGGGAATGATGTATTTTAATGATACCTCATTGTCTTATTGTTGTTGGAGCACAAAACATACGTGATTGATTAACGTCTGCATGGTAAGGGAGCGAATGTGTTCTTCCCCCACTGGGTGGAGGAGAGGCCATAGAAAGCCGTTCAGGAGATGCTACAGACAACTCCCCAGAAACCTAACAGCGAGTAGAATTAATATTATACATGCAGAAAGATGATTACCACACTGGCAAGATGCATATATAAACTAAGAATTACACCTCTTGTCCACTGATTAGCAACGGGATGTGGTTATGAGGGGATTCTTTATCATAGTTTGGAGCATTAGCATCCTCCCCTCTTCCATAAGTCATGTGCCAGCTCAACATGCGTTGTGCTATCTTCTGCTTCTCATTTTGAGTTTCTGTAAACCGAAAGTTGGCATTGCTGTCATCAGCTTCAACATCCTCCTCATTGTCTCCAAAAATAACAGGGCTTCCTGTGTTCAACAAAATTAACAAATTCATGTAGAGAGTACAAAAACCACACATGTTAGGTAATAAATAATACTTTAATATACATGATGCAAAGGAGGCTCTACTTATTGTTGGTTGGTTTTGACATTCAAGCCCAACGAGATCTTTTACGTTGAATTTAGCACCCTGTAGGGACGCAAGCTCATACTCGTTTAATTTTTCATGCCAGGATTGATTGTGCATGTGTTACCCTCGATAATCTTAAGGAAAGGCAGGGTAGCTAAAAAGTACAAGTTCATCCATTAGATGATAATTCATACATCCAATTATATCATCCAAAGTGACTGTACTTGTGGATAATTGCTTTTGAGATGAAAGCCTTTTAGAATCTTTACAATTTAGTGATGCAAATATAAGACCATTAACTTTCAGAAGGTTGAGGAAAAGTCGATGTCTTTCTACTGAAGGAATACAGGAAAGAAATGAAGCAAAACCAAGAGTATCTGCAAGCTTTATTCTGTGAGAAAGCAGGGAAAACAAATCAGCAGACTAGATACTGATTCTCATGATCCCGTTTATGAACAATCATTGATCCACGCAGAAATTGATCAATATCAGTGTAGATATACTTCGCAAAAGGGTCTTTGGCCTATCGATATCCAGGCCTTTGGCCTCCCACGAGGTCAGGGTTCATACCTCATCAAAGATGAGGTGAGTTTATTTGTTGCATTGGTGGTACATAAATATCATACACTTCAAAAAAGACAATGTTGATTGTTTCTACAGAAACCGCTTATTTGTTGTTACGCATATGACATATCCCTACAGTATAAGCTTAGAATATTAGCAAAGAACAAGAAATAGGTTGCTTTGAAGTAAATCAAAACCTTTATGTCGCTTGTATCTCGTTTTGCATTGAGGGCAAGACTGATTGCCATCCTTGCGCTCATACTCGTAGCATGGCCTGCAAACTGGGAATGCACAGACATCACAGGCAATAAAGAGCTCCCCTTTTTCTGTAATGTCAACATTATCCCCACAGATCTGGCAAACATGACCCCCCAAGTTCTTCGAAGACTTCCCCTGCCCAATCCAAGCATCACAAATGTAAACTGAAGCCAAACAAAATACCATATTCTAATAGATACAATATTGCAACAATTGACAACCAAGGAAATATTTACTCCAAAATCAGAATGGCATGTTAAAAGATACCGTACTCCAGTGTTCTAATGATGTAATAAATAAAATAAGAAACAAGGTATATGAAGGATAAACAACTATAAAGCTTCGTACGGAAATACTAATACTAACCCCAATTTCTCCCGATTCCATTGCCCTTTACTCAGTAGAGCGATCAATCAATTGCAAACTCAACAATCAATCTCGGCCAGAAATGCTGCCACAGATCATAACTACAAAGTGTATGCGTAAGAACCTGCTAAAATCACAAAGTTAAGTTTCATTCTAACAAAATCCATAGGAAGGAGGATTAACACATAAATAAAATATTGAATCCCAGTAGCTTAGAAACACTAGCCAATTGGCTAATGCAAGCATAAGTAACCAGAGCGTAATGGAAAAAAATAATTATACAGTACATGTGTAGCTTATCGTTGAGCAACCCCCACAAACCAATAGTTAAATTTCGTTAGAATCAAAATGAATAGACAATCAATAAATATAGCAGATGAAATCGGACCTCAGAAATGAAATTTAACAGATGTGGAGGAAGTATTCAAGCCTTTCTTCACTCTGTCTCTTTGTAAAGGTAAAGATTTATATACAAAGATAAGAGATGGAGAGGGTGACTGATGCAAGTTGCTACAGCTGTTAGAGATATATAATTGATGAAAAAAATGCTTACGCGAGACTAAAGCGACATTGCTGCTGCTGCTTCTCACCTCTCGTCTCCACCGACACCGCCAAAACTACTGTTTCTGAAGATTAAATTACAAACATGGACCCCGCACTATTATTTGAAATGCACTTTTTGATATTCCATGAAAAACATGAACATTATTGGTCCCACCTAACTTTTGAAAACGGTGTCACAACTTGATAGACGGTATCCACAACTTGAAAGGCGCCACTAACCCATGTGTGATAATCGGGTCTTGGTTATCACCTGAGGTAATTTAATATGTGATTATTGAATGTATGATAAATTGTTATAATTGATAATGCGAGTACGTGTATTCTCATGTATGAAAAATGTATGCATTATATGAATGCATGAGTTTATGAAAGTATGCATGATTATGAATACGTATGTATGCATGAGATTGTATGTGTGTGTGCATAAATATATTCGTATGCATGGATTGTGTATACATGCATGCATGAATATTAAATTGAGGTCATGCATGATCCACTAGCCGACTTTCTTCTTTTGGAAAGGGTATATATACCAAGTGAGGTTCATAAGTTAAGCTTCTTGCCATTTTGGAACTTGAGAGAAGAGATTATGTGCGGATTGCTTGCCTATTTGGAATCTGAAGTTGATTCATATTTGCTAATTGCATCAGGTGAGTGGTTTTAACATCTTAATGCATATGAAACTCATCTTCTGTATATTGAATTCTGTTTTGACTTTGAAAACATGTTGATCGGATTAAGTACATATTCGATCATAGTATTGACCGGATTGGAACTATACGGTCATAGTATTGACTGGATGGAATGTTGGAATGTTTTTGAATTTGTGAATCCAATCATTGACTTGACCAGAGAAGAATGAGTCTGGTTGAAGAGTTGACTGGATTAGAATCTATCCGACCAGTGTTGTCCGGATTGAAGCTTGTTCGGTCATAATCTTGACCAGAGATAGGTAAGTACGGCCATGAGTTAGCCGGATATGAATTTAGTGAAGTGTCCTTATTTGAAGTGTTGTCCGAATATGAAGTCCGGCCAAAGCTTGACCGGACTTTGGGGGTTGACCGGATATGAAGTCCGGCTGAAATCAATTTTTATGGCCGGATAAGTTAATGAATATTTTATTCAAAGTTGGATTATGTTAATGACATATTATTCTTTCTAAAATGATAAAGAAAGAGTGTTCAATGTTTTATTTTAACACTGTTTCTGGTTAAAAGTATAGATGATGTTCCATTAGAACGTTTGTGACTTCGGTCTGTCCAGATTGGAAATAATCTGTAAATTTTGATGAGAAAATAAGGGTGACATATCAAGTAGATGTGTACTTTGAGATAAGGGTGGCATATCAAGGAGACGTGTACTTTGGGATAAGGGTGACATATCAAGGAGAGGTGTACCTTTGGATATAAGGGTGACATTCGTGTATATGTTTATTATTAAACCCCATAATTCATAAAGTGAAAAAGTAATGAAAAACAATAAGTGATGAAGAACTAGAAGACCGGTGAAGACATCAAGGCATAATTGGCTAAGTCTGGAGAACAACCAGAGGGCCGATGAACAACCAAGGATGCGATGGAAAAGAGCATCTTCATTGCCCCTCTTGTCAACAACACTTAGAGAATTCTTCAACAATTCAACCAGAGGCATACGATGAAGATTTAAAGATAAGGTATGATTCATCATACCATGGAAGACAGCTGGAGATGACAAGTTGTGTGTCCATAATCACTGATCAATCTTCATATTAAGCTCACATCAATGGCAGATTCATGGATTTAACAGTAAGAACACTATGAACATTGAGAGAGAAAGTCAAACATGTAAATCTCAGTCAACTCTCTATTATGAATGAATATTACAATTAAGCTCCTCTCCTACTAATTACAAAGATTAAACCATATTTATATGGTCAACCTAACTAACAAAGTCAAAGTCAAACTAGTCTAAGAAAGTCAAACACGCTGACTTTACAATTATAGACTAAAATTAATMTTTYAAGACGAATACAATTAATACTGATTTTTCAGTCCTAACACAAGTCGACAACTAGACTTCAAGTTTATCTTAATATTAAAGCTTATCCATAGTTTAGATAAACATTATCTGTTAATAAAAGATTAGCTAAAAAGTCTCAATAGATAGTTATCTTCTAATTAGCTTACTAGTATAAATAGGTGATTAGGCCTATTGTACTAAATGTCTCTTTTGACATTTTTTTATTAATAAAAGTGAAATCTTTGACGCTCAAGATTGTTCTTTAATGTTCATAATTTATTCTTGAGTGTTCTTCACTTTGTTCATTAAAACACTATAATTTGGTTATTCTTAACTCAATTATTAGTGTTATTGAGAGATATGAGATCAACAATTGGTATCAGAGCTAATTGATTGATTTTCCAATCAAAACGATCATCTAAAATCTCTCAATATTTTTTCTCTCTCTTCAAAACGTAAAATATTTCTCTTCAAAAATTCTCAATGGCCAACTGGAATTCTGCGTATAGTGTTGGCT